TTTTATTTTCCTTCTTCCCCTACTCTTTTGGTTCTTCCCCTTTCTCCTCGTGGCAGCATCGTCCACTTAATTATTGTTGCGTCATCCCCAGCAGAATTACTGAGATGTTGCCTGTGTCACGGTCCTGACCATCTCCATGAGGGGCTGTCCTTGTGAGCCCGTGCTCCTCTTCACTGACCTGACCTCTCGCAGTCATGATTGCTTTCAGCTGCCCTGGCTGGCTTAGGAGAAAATCTAAGATTATGGAGTCCCAGAACCAATCTCTGCCCTCTCTATCTCCAAGAGAGGAAGAAAATAACAGGGATCTTCTTGGAGAAATGACCCACCTGAGGGCCTGGACTCTCCAGCAGTTACAGCAGAAGAAAGTTTCTGAAGAAGAATGGAGAAGCTGAGAGCCCAGGCTGGGAAAGCAGGGTTGTGTGAAACATTATTTAATCCTATGTGCTTTCTGCCCCAATCTAGCAGCCAGTGAATGACAGCTGACCCAGTATAAAGACCAGGACTATAGAACTGTGATAAAGCGTTTGTCCAAGGAAAGGGGCTTTTACTGTTTTTGTTTTCACGGTGGAAATGGCTATTTTTCATCTAAAGTTTTCAGAATGGCAGCAGCGAGCTTCGGGAGGGTGAGTTACCTGCTCTGCACAGGGAGGCTGAGGCCATGGCTTGTATGGTGGATCTGCTGCCACCAAGTGGTGACGGAGGGAGCCTGGGAGAGTCTCAGTCTTTCTGGGCTTCAGTGTTTCCTCATGAGTAAGATAGAGGCTTATTGTACCTCTCTGAGGTTCCTTCCTGCTCTGTTTTCTCTGAGCCTCTGAGGAATTGAGATGCTTTTCAATACTGCCTGGGACCTTCAGCTGAGACCTGAACCTGTGTGTCTTCTACAGGAGCCTCAGCCGAGTCTACACACTGGAATCCCAGAGCTGAGGGAACAGGTGGAAGAAAGAAAGTCAGCAGGTTTAGGGGATGAGAATAATCCACAAAGGACAAGCCATTGGTAAACGAAAATCAAAGAAGGTGAGAATAAGTACAAACCAGGACAGAAGACTCAGGGGAAATGGGCAATGCCTATGATCATTTAAACCCTCAAGGAACAGCGTGAGCTGAGCAGTGGGGACTGAGAGAAACTGACTCAACAGGAATCTCCTGCATCTGGCCAGGGAGAGCCACAGGTTAGATCATAGCTGCTTTATAGTGAGGAGCAGCTTCAACTTCAAGAAAGGGTCAGAGGTTTGTAATCAGTTTTATTCAGTCACGAATGAACACTCCCTAGACCCAGGAGCCCCAACGTCTGTGCTGCCGTAGCAGTGGATGCTCTTCAGGTCAGCATGGGTTAGAGGGAATAACCATGCTTGGAGAAGGGTTGGAGACGTCCATTCTTACATTAAACCGCTCTGCCCTAGGTCAGGTGCCAGCGTAAGTGTCCCTTGCTTGATTATGACACAGTGATACTGATAATATTCCTCTGCACTTTCAGTTGAGGGAAGTTTCTCATAAATATTTATTGAGCATGTAATTTTCTTTATACTGTGCTAAGCACTTGGGATTCAGGTATTTAATGTCTCTCTAAAGAATCTCAAGCCAGTGAGTGGAAGAACACAAACAGATCATTTCAACAAGATATGATAGTTCTACCCAATTGAGGTGTTGTGGGAGCCCGGAGGATGGGAGGGTATGTCAAAGGATATTGCTCCTATTGATGGGGAAGCATTGAGAATATTTTCAGGACAGACTAGTCTTCCTTGAAGCTCCCACAGGAGAGGATTCTGGGGCAGGGATGGTGTAGGGCAGGTGCCTCTCTAGGGAAGGGATTTGCAGCATTCTGAGAGAAAGAGCATCCCTTACAAGACGTTAGGGACAGAAATGTAGGTGATAGGGTCAGAGGTTTGTAATTCATTTTATTCAATCATGGGTGAACACTGCTGAGAGGCCCCTCTGTGCTGGGCCCTTAGCTAAGGACCATGACCACAGAGGTGAGTAAAATAGAATCCCAGCTTTGACAGAATTCTCAGTCTAGTGCCTGGTGATTCATGAGAAGTGTAGTGATGGTGGGTTCATTGGAACCAGTGGCCCATGCCTCATGCGATGACCTCAGTGGATGTCCTGGGCCAGTGACCCTGGACTTCAGCCATATTTCAGCATCTTGAGGTACAGTACACCAACACCTCAGCTCCATGTTGAATCAAAGCAGTTAACACAGCCAAGGTATTCAGAGGACACTGATGATATCAGTAGCTATAGACTGTTTCCAGCTGGGGAAATAAAGAAGTAAATTTAGTAAGTCTTCTAAATGTGTCCTTGCCATAATGATAAATAACTTTATCTCGATAATGAATTATATTCTGGTAAGTTAATTATAACTTACCATAATGAGAAATAACTTTATCCTGAGTACAGCAGACACACAAGACCTTGAGGACACATGTCTGAGGATTCTGATGAAGATATGATGTCCAAGTATGTGCACAGTTGGACCTACAGGCCAGCTTTGAAATAGTGGAAGACCTAGTTTCAAATTAAAGGTTGCTTTGAGTAGAAATTCACTTTACCTCTCATGGCAATGGGGCCAATCTTCCCTAAGCTACCCCTTACAAGAAAGGGAATGATACTGGTAAGAATTCAGACTTCAGCAAACATGGGTAAGTAAGGAAGTCTTATAAATGTGTTCTAGCCACCTAGCAAGAAACCAGGAATTTAGCAAGTTCGTTCACATTCAGGACAGTTGTGTTCACTAGATCAGAGGCCCTGAGACACGAAGAAGAGACCCCCTAACAAGGGAAAGTGTTTCTTCCTGTCCTCTGATATCACTGCCAACTTCAGGGAAGCAGGAACACAGCTGCCCGCTTTACAGTATGGGCTGCTTTTGTGCCTGGAATGTGTCTGATTTGTGCTTGAATGTCCCTGTACCCATTTCAGGGAGCCTTGGGAGGAGCCTGAATCACTGATGGAATTGGACAGTGCATGGAGACGGTTGAGCAGGACGAAGGTAAGTGCAGGGGCATGGCCAGGTCATACTGGGAGACAATGAGTGTCACTGATGGGGACAGACAAAGATGAAGTCAAAAGTGTGTGCTTCAGTCTCAAAAACTCAAACCAATAACTAGTTTGCTTTCATAAGCAATAAGTATTTTTCTATTTACGTGAGAATTTAATCTCAAAACAGAAATCATAAAAATAGTAAGCCCAGGGCATAAAACCTAAACTATAGCTCATATTTATTCTTTCTAAATAGAGCTATTAGTAAAATCTTCTTCATAAAACATGTATTGTGGATATAAGAAGGCAAAAGTTGGCCGGGTATGGTGGCTCGCGCCTGTAGTCCCAGCGCTTGAAGAGGCCGAGGTGGGTGGATCACGAGATCACAATATGGAGACCAACTGGCCAACATGATGAAACCATGTCTCTACTAAAAACACAAAAATTAGCCGGGTGTGGTGGCACATGCCTGTCGTCCCAGCTACTCGGGAGACAGACAGGAGAATCGCTTGAACCCGGGAGACAGAGGTTGCAGTGAAATGAGATTGCACCACTGCATTTTAGCCTGGTGACAGCAAGAATCTGTCTCAAAATAAGAAAGAAAGCAGAAAGAAAGAAAGAAAGAAAGAGAGAAAGAGAGAAAGAGAGAGAGAGAGAGAGAGAGAGAAAAGAAAGAAAAGAAAGAAAGAAAGAAAGAAAGAGAAAGAAAGAAAGAAAGAAAAAGGAAGAAAGAAAGAAAGAAAGAAAGAAAGAAAGAAAGAAAGAAAGAAAGAAAGAAAGAAAGAAAGAAAGAAAGAAAAGCAACAGTCTTAGAATCATTGGCATTCCATAGAAGAGAGAATTAAATACAGTCAAGGGAAGACCCAAGTCTCATACTTCTCTTGTATATTCCAAAGGTCCAGGGAAATTCCAGGTCTAATGGAAAATAGAGGTTATTTTCCATGCTGTTAAAGCAAGGTTGCAGACACTTCTGAATTTTGGTCCCAATATACTAGGAGGGCACACGTCTGTCCTGCAAGATGATACAGGAATGAATACTCTTCCTTTGACCCACTCTGATCATTCGTCCAGCATCACAGCAACCAAAAACTGGAAATCTGGCCAAATTCATGATTTGCTAGCCCTCTTGTTCAGGTTTCTTACCTGATTCTTAGGATAACAGTGTTACCTTGAGGATTATGATGAAGATATGCTATCCAAATATGTACACAGTTTTGAGCAAAATGCCTGGTACAAATTGATCAACAAATAATTACTGAATAATTGTATGAATATTTACTGAATGACATGGATCCTAGTGATTGCTTTTATTGGCAGTGCTGAAAACTGATCCCTGTGTGACCTCAAGTAAGCCACATAACTTGGTGAACCTGCAGTTTCATCATTTTTAAAATGAAGAAACCTGACAGATTTTCTTTCTGCCACAGAATGTCAGGCCTCCCAGACACCAGAACACGTATATACATAAAGCCTTTGATGTATGTCAAAGCAGTATGCTTACGGTGTTGCTGGAGGATGATGGGGGCTGTAGAGAGGCACGCTTTCCAATGGGATTGATCCAGTCCTCCTTGCTTCACTTCCACGTGAATGCTGGGCAGCCCAGGGTCACACCCATTGCACCCTCAAGTCAGGCAAGCCCAGAAAGCAGCCAAACATAGGAGACCTGGGCTACAGAACAGTCTCCCAAGTCCCAGGCTCCCAAAACCTGGGTGGCGATGAAAGCTGAGAAGGTGAGGAGGTGGTTCAGGGGATCGCTCTTCCCTACTCGTTCCTGCCATCTCAAATTCACCTCCTACTGCACAGCAACACAGAGGGCCACCAACCACCCCTGACCATCACCTTGATCTTGCTGTGTTTGGTTAGTGGGATGCAACCACATCTCAGTGGCGTTAGACCACCTCAGAAAAATATCTCAAACCGTATTCCATAAGGACCGTTCATGGCCCCGTTATTTTCAATATATGGAAAAATGAAATGAAAACAACAAAATCCTATCAGGTTTACCAGACTTCCCAAGATACATGGTCACATATGCCTTCAGGAGATCTCTATAGAAATGATTTTGATGACTTGCCACCTTGAAAAGAGCTCTTCTGGGTCTAAACTGACATCCTTATGTGACAAGAATGAGATGTAGTGTTCAGTCACATTAAAAAACAAATCATCCCCTATAGAGGAAGCTTTGGATATAGGAACATCAAACTGGTCTGAAGTGTAATGAAAAGATTCTTCTGCCACAAATATCAGTGTAGTGATATCTGCCAGTAAGAAAATATAAATCAGCATAACCATGGGATGCAGCAAGAAGAATATTGAGCCAGGAAAGAAAACATTAAAAAAAAAAAAGAATTACTCATTCAGTTTCTAGTGGATACAGAAAAAACTGCAGAAGAGTCAGAGGATATCATGGCAGTGTAATAGGTTGATATCTTAATCTTATGGAAAAGCCTTCAATTCCGTTTTAACATATGAGAAGGAAGGATGACTGACTTCATGACTAGCATTAAGAAAATATCACATGTTGATAAACTGTTTCTACCTTGATGATTTTATACACACAAGAGATAAAAAATAAGGCACGTGCTTAGATATATTGGGAATGAGATGGGACTGTGGCATTGTCACAAGGGTACACAAATACTGAGAGTGACTGATAGAGGAACGGTCCCCATTGGTTGTGACCTCAGGTGAGACCAGGAGGCCTGTGTTTTAGCAAACCCTGGGCAATTGGAATGAAGGGCTCCTAAGATTCCATGACACGCCCAGCTTCTAATTCTGTTATTGCAACAGCAGGCCGTTACCTGGGACTCTGGCCACTATCTCCCACACTCTTGTCAGAGTCTGAGCTACAGGCTGCGCCTTCAGCTCCCAGCTGAAGCATTGCGAACCTTGTTTTTGCGGTTAAGGACCTTAAGGTGCTGTGTGGATCAAGTTCTTCTCAACAGTAAGTTAAGAATTTGAGTTATTGACATCCCCCAGTCCTGAATAAACCTATTTGATTTACAGTTATTAACCCATCATATGTTTGGATTTCTTCTCTCCAGTCCCTGGCTGTACCTGTGGTGTCCCAAATGTCAGCATGGCAACATCTGGCAGGACTTGTTCCACGAAAACCACAGAGGTGAACTTTCCACATACCATCGAGAATTCCTACTCCCAGCAGGAAGAGACCAAACCGAATTTCAGAGCCAGCAAAAATAGACTTCTTCTGAGCCAGGTTGCCTACTTCCAGAACTATCAGCTGAAGACATACAGTAAGTTCTATAGTTTCATCACCATGAAACTGATGAATGATGTCCTGTCTTATCTCAAGAAACTAACCATCTCTTCATCAAAATTAATTTTATTTTTCCCATACTTGTAGAAAATAGAAATGGGTACTTTAACATTTAGTTAAAGATGGAAGACAGAGGACAAAGTATTTAGCAACTTTTCCACGTCTGCAGTAAGATGGGTGTGAGACTGGGGTTACAATCCCACCTATTGATTTCTGACAGAGACACAGAATCACCTGTTTTCCTCATCAAAAGGCTAAATCCATGTTTACAGGAATCCTCTCTGTACCGTATAAGATCCTGCAGACAAGTAGCATCCAGTCTCTTGGTCTAAATGTCTGAGGCTACTGAACTTCCATTAGGTTCTGGTTTCTGCTGAGGCCCAGTAGGCAAAGCTGTATTCTGGGACACTGGGGGAAACACAGTGATAGCACACAGTACCTCCTGTGAGGAGCTCGAAGGGGACCCTGCTCCTAATAGAACCTGTGGTATGTGTATGTGGCACCATCAAGACCAGGGAGTACCCTGGTACACCAGTACCAGCCTCTCAATTAGCTGGGATCCCTGGTGAGCACCACTGCAAATGGCTAATTTTTGTATATTTAGTAGAGGCGGAGTTCCACCGTGTTAGCCAGGCTGGTCTTGAACTCCAAAGGTCAAGTGACCAGCCTGCTTTGGCCTCCTAAAGTGCTGGGATTCCAGGCGTGAGCCACTACGCCTGCTCCACACATTCTTTTTTCAGTAAAAGTTGTTAGAATTCATCCATCGGTCTAGTCTCCTATATAAATTTCTCTAACTATTCATTGACAATGATATATGATGAGATAAGTCAGTATTGCAGCAATGCTTCTGGAAAGCATTTAGGGCAATTTATGAAGATTTTGGGGAAAAAGTTTTAATTATTTGCACTGACTTAGGTCAGAGGATATGTGATTAAGATCTACCAGATGGGGGAGATTTTGTCCCATGGATCTGAAAAGCAGGCTCATTTACTTCTAGGGCGACTTAGTCTAGGGCTCATTAGGACATTCCTGTCAGGATATCACATTCTTACATTGAGAGTATTTTTCATCCTTGTGCTATGACCGAACACTGATTTTGTCTTGCGTGAAGTGCGATTTGCTTAATGTGACCTGCTCTTCTGAATTTGTTTACAGAAGATCGAAAAGATCACGATAAAGAGCAGAAATACAGAGAGAGCAAAAATAAACTTCTTATGAGTCAAGTGGCCTACTACCTGGCCTGTCGGCTGAAGATGAAAGGTAAGTTATAAAGGTCCACCATCAGGAAAGTGCTGAACAATGTCCTGTCTTGTTTCTGAGAAATGATACACTCTCTTCTTCAAAGTTAATTTAATCCTTCCCATAGTTCTAGGAAAATAGCAATGGGCATTTTAACATTTTGTTAAAGATGGAAGAGAGAGGCCAAAGTATTTAGCAACTTTTCCACYTCTGCAGTAAGGCGAGTGTGGGACTAGRGTTAATATCACAGCTATTGATTCCTGACYCAGGCACAGAACCACCTGTTTTTCTCAGCAAGAGGCTAAYTCATTTTGACAGGAATCCTGTCTACCATATGAGATCCTGCAGAACTTATAAGCAAGATAAAGGTAGAAGTGTTTATTTCCAGATTTCAGGGTGACTGAGTAGTTAAGACAAGTTGCTTTAAGGAGATTGAGAGTGGAGATGAGAAGGGGAAAAGCAGGGAAATGACATCTTCAAATCAATAGGCAAGGCTGTCAGTGACATCCCTCAGTCCCGATTAAACCAATTTGACGTCACCAGTTTCTAACCCATCATGTGTTTCTGTTTCTTCTCCCCAGTCCCTGGCTTTCTGTGTTGTGCCCCAAATGTCAACATGGTGGCATCTGGCAGGTCTCCTTCCAGAAAAAGCACAGAAGTGAACATTCCAGAAGTCAATGAGCAATCCTGCTCCCAACAGGAAGAAAACCAACTGAATGTCGGAGCCAACAAAAATAGACTTATTATGAGGCAGGTGGCGTACTTGCTGAACTACCGGCTGAAGATATACGGTAAGTTCTATAGGTTGACCACCACGAAAGTGATAAATGATGTCCTGTGTTGTCTTGAGTGACTAACGATTCTCTTCATCAAATTTAATTTTTTCTGCCCATACTTGCAAACAATAGAAATGGGTATTTTAACATTTTGGTAAAGATGGAAGACAGAGGCCAAAGTGTTTAGTAACTTTTCCACATCTGCAGTAAGGTGGGTGTGGGACTGGGGTT